CAGTAGAAGAACAGTGGGCAAGGAAAAAGCTTTGCCATTCTTCAAATTTTCAAATGAAAAGCCACATAGAAGTGTTTTACAACTGTCAGTGAAGTGAGCCTCCTGGGCAGACTTGTAAATAAGACTCTGTTACCAGCTAGGAAATTGCATCACAAGTATAGTCACTGTTTTTGCAGAATGCCAAATAAAACAACAACCAACCGTGTGCAAAAGCTGAAAATAAATTCCAGTGCTCTGACTGTCAGACTATTCAGTACCCTAAATATGTAATTTTGTTTGATCTTCTAAATCTTCCCTAGCTCCATCACATTTATAGTGCAGATACTGCTATGTAAATCAAACTCAACTAGCTAACTTGCTGTCTTTGCAAGTGGATAGATCTGTGGCAGCTGCAAAACTAGCAGTATAGCCTAGGAGCAAATAGTGATATGCAAGCTGGAATCCTTATGTTGTGGAATTGAACACAGCTTTTCTGGTAGCATACATATCTTAAGAGACTATATTTCAACCAATTAATAATATATGTTCAAGCATAGACTGTGATCTAATTTCTTATTGTATCACTTTGTGAGTCTAATGGAGCAAAGCCTGATATTCCTGAGTCTCTGAATACCTGAAATAAAGTTCTTCTGAGTAATATGGAGATGGTATCAGAACTGCAGTGTACACACTACCAAATTAATTGGAATGTAGGTGTTCTGAGAGTTAGACATACTCTTGTGGCCTGTAAATATTTGTACAGAGCTAAAATGGCAACGATATACTAAATTGGTACTTTATCCGTTCTTTGCCTAGCAGAGTGTTTTTTTTTTTTATTACCTATATTTATTATATTACCACCCAATTAATTGTCAATTGTTATTTTTACTTCATTTCAAAGTGGCGTGCTTAACTTCATCAAAAGGCCTTTAAGGGTCCCTTTGAACTCAAAAGATTCTAGGATTCTAACATCTGTTGCTAGAAGCTGGGTAACTCTTTGCATATATATATATATATATATATATTGTTTGGTGTAAATTGTTTGTCAAGCATTTATTGCTTTCTCTGTTCTTGATATATGTGATTTAATAGCAGCAACTCAATCCCAGTCTCCTCTGCAATTTGTTGACCTAGAAGCTATTGCCTCTAATTGGGAAATGTTGTAGTAAGGAAATATGCAGCACAAAATGGGTGTTCAGAAAGATAAAGGCTGTTCCTCCTGAACGATTGTCCTTATTTCTCTGCAGCACTGGTCAGAATCCCAAATATCATCAGCGGTAATAATGAGGAGGAAAGCAGAACAGAAATAGCGGTCTGCCCTTTCCTTCTGAGGAAGGAATACAGAAGTGCTGAGAAGCAGCTGAAAGGAACTGAGGATTCAGCTGCCTGCAAGGCTCTGTGAGAATGCAGAGTGCAGGAGAGCGCCTCTGCTGCTCTGATCTGAAGATGGGTGGGAACAAAACAGGAGCTGTTGCCCAGAGGCCTGGTTTAGTCCCAAAGCATGATTTTGAATATTTCCTGCATTTCATTTCAGTCTCCTCATGGAAGACATTAAATCCCATGGAGAGTGCATTCAAGTGCAACCAAGGTGATAGTTTGTTTATGAGGAACAGCTAAAAAGGGTGATCCTTCTTGCACTCAGATAAAGAAAATGCTGAGATGCCCGGAAAGAAATTACTTTAAAAGGGGAATAAAAATAATAAAATCAAATGGGGTCTTTCTAACTGAAAGACAGGCTAAAATGCTTGTTAGAGTAAATATAAATCTATTCACAGCTGCTTTTCTTTTGAAGAAGGAATAAAGAAATATATGAAGCTCTATTTATATAATATGGCATTGCCGAGGGGTGCAAGATTGTTGAACAAATAGTGGTTTTTACTAGTCTAGCCTTCTGAGGTGCCTCCAAAGGATTCCTTTTATATCTCCCAGTGTGTAGTTTTAAGAGAGTAAGTCCTTAGTAATGTAGTGTATTGATTATTAGCTGTCATGGAAAAGTGATCATCCTCACTATGTGGAATTTGCTCGAATGAAAGTTGGAATATGATATATGATAGCATGGAACAAAGCATAGTAACTCAACACAGAAGGCAAAAAATGGTATTTCTGTTTTGTCTGGGTGTAAAACTGCACCCTGTAAATGGAAAGGCAATTACATGAGTTTCCATCATCTGTGTTGCTCTACAAATTGGTAAATTGAGTTTTCCTCAAATTTGTGGGAAAGCAAGGAAATAGCTAGCAACTTAGCATTCCCTGCAATGGGACCCACACCAAGGTGCAAACCATTCAAATGGTACTTGGCTATCATTTTCTTCTGTAGCTGGGGAAGCATGGATAAGCTTGTCCATCTCTCTGATGCCGTGGCCATATAGCTGCTGTCAGGCCACTAGGAGTGCCCCAAGGACAGCAGCAGTGCCTGGTAAGTTGGCATCGCAGACTGTAAGCCACCTCCCGTAGGAGTCCATGATATATGAAGTGTTCTATTTACAGAGAAACATTGCCAGAGCTGGCTCTGGGCAGCAGCTGGACTCTGCCCACTAAGGTCACCTCTGCAGGCCCCTGCAACCAGGACCTTGCCACATACGCTCAGTAGTCAGCAGTCTTTTGTTGTTCTATGAAGCACAGGATTATTGTTTCCAATTCTGCACAGTGGTAGTGATTGTGCTGGGAGTTTGCTTGCACAGTATCAACAGGAGGAAAGAAAATTTGTTCCCATATTCTTAGAAGGTAATCAGCTACCAGTATTATTTTTGATGCTACGTGGAAGTAAAGGAGACCTTTCCTATCATGTAAAAAATTAGGTTATGTATTTGGTAACACTAAATATGGACTGCTTTGCAAGATGTAGTTATGAGTGCTTTAAGACAGCATTTGATCTTCTGTCCTTTTGTTAGAAATTATTATCCATAAATTGTTTGATATAAAAAATAACTGCATAATGGGAACTGAGATCTCTGATATTTCTACATTTCCTTGAAACAGTTTTGTGTGGTGGAAATGACTTATTATGATGCATCCAAACAATTTTTTAGCCTCCTTTCTAATATACTTCAAATTACAATTAATTCCATTCAGGGAAAAAAACAATACATATTTTCCCCGCACTAGGAATTTTTTCAAGTTCTTTTGCTTTTTCTTTCAATGCAGCGTGGAAGTGTTTGTCATGTAAGGAGTTGCCAGGAGGTAAACTAACTTGATAAATGTCAGAGGTCAGCTTGTGTGGAAAAGAAAGAGTTTGTCAAGAAAGCAAGTTAACCTTTGTTACAGAACCACTCTGATCGTATCCTTGTTGAGAATGACAATCCACTGGCTGATCTGTTCCTGCTTTAGGAACTGAAATAAAAAAGGAATCTTAAAAAGGTTGTAGATTTGGCAAAATGCTTATTATTTGTTGCTAAAAGAGAGTATTTAGGGGAGAAAAAAAGAATACAAAAATAAACACCACAAAAAAACCCACACTTGTTGCTGTCTGAAATGAAAGATTGTGTTCTAATGGTTAATTGATATATGTCTCCTAATTTTACTTAAGTCAGACAAAATACAGGAAATAGTCTGTTTACTTTGTTATCCAAAGAGGTGTCACCAAATTGACACTATTGATTGAACATTTCTTCCACAGTATAATTAACTGCAAGTAATACTTTGCATTACAGTGAGGTGTTCAAGAAAATTAGTTCTAAAGCTTTGAAAGTTTTCTATTGCAGGAAGCCAGTTATTAAAATATTATTAAAATAATCCAAAGCAGAAGAACACACTGTGGATTCAAATTCTTCATTTCCTTCTTTTTCCTGTTTAAATTGAAGGCTGGAATTCCTTTACAAAATATTTATTTCAGTTTTTTAAATGACTTCAGAATTCAGGTTGCAATGAGCTTTTTCCATCTTTAAGTGGTTACTTCAAGTTTCACTTGAATTAGAAATTACCCTTTAAAGACATTGGCAGTTTTATTTATAATAAGAGTCAAGTTTCTATTTTTTAATGGAACTGAGTTTGGAGAATATGTCATGAGATAGCTTTCCTATTTAAAAAAAAAAAAGATTGGGGAGGGAGAAAGAAACCTCCTAGAGAAGCAAAAGATCAGAGATTACACTGTGTGTAAGAACAGCATGTTTCCTCAGCAAAAAAAATGATTTTGAGGACAGATCATTTTTCATAGCAGAGGTTTCAGTCCGCAGTCCTTCCTCAGCCTCTGGGAGACTATTTGACAGTCTGTACTGCTGCTCTGCTCAGCGGTACAGTTTATGTGCATTCAATTTATGTTTCTCTCCTGGAAAGAAACCCTGATGGCAGATGTTGGTTCCGTGATGAGTGCAAGTGTGCATTTGGAGCTGATGTTGTAGCGTTGGAGGATTTATCCGAGTCACAATTTCACAGTGCGGTGTTAGAAGAGCAAAATACAAGCAGCCTTACAATTGACAGAGAAGTGAAGGATGCTTGGTGCTTTTTTGTTTGGATGGGGGAACATTTAATGCACTTTGGAAGTACTCGGTCATGCTTCAAACTTCTTTTTCTGTTTCTGCACATGATTTGACTATCTGCCCAGAGTTTGAGGAATAGCTATATAGAAGTGATGGGTTACACATCCTGTTAAACCTACAGCTGGAGCAGCAAGATTTAAATTGCTGTAATTCTTCCACTAAAACAGAATTTGCTTTTCTAATATTAAAGTATATATATTTTAGATGAAGTAAACCTAGAGGTAATACTTTTGCTGTGTTCGCCATTAAGTGAATTTGCTTAAAGATTATGTAAATATTATACAATCCCAGGGTTAGATGGCATTTCCTACTTCACACAGCTCATGGTGCCTCTTCTGTGGTTTTCTTCATTGATTCCGTTGAGCTGTCTTGAGAAAGAGGATGTAATGCAATGAAGAGCAAAGATAGTAAGATCTGTATGGATGTGATCAAAGACTTGGAGTTCTAAATAAGAGCAAAATGCAAAGTAGATTTATGTTATCTGTGATTACACCGCCATCTAGTGACACAATGACTCAATGTAGACTTTCTTACTGTTTTTCAAAGATTAGCATCTTCATGACACACTTGTCTAACTATGGAAATGACCGCTTGGGGCTGTATACATTTGTGAATCTGGCCAACTTTGTTCATACCTGGACAAACCTGAAACTGCAAACTCTTCCTCCAGTTCAGCTGGCTCGCAAGTACTTCGAGCTATTCCCTGAGCAAAAGGACCCACTCTGGCAGGTAGGCAGACTTGCTGATCAAAGGATAAAAAAAAAAAAAAAAAAAAAAAAAAAAAGTGGTCTTGATGTTTTTGTCTGTTTTTGTTTTCTAAATTTATTTGTTTCAGTTTCTTGTAAACAAAAGCAGTCATATTTTTGAATTCGGAGTGGTTTTCAATCCACGCTGTTTTCCCAGTTGTTTTGGTCTCCATAGAAAGGCTATGTGCTACATAGAAAGTAATATGTGCTAATAGATATAGAAAAAATTATCTTTCGTTCATTTTATTTGTGACTTTATTTGTGTGTACAATTGTGGGAAATGCAGGAAAGGTGGTTGATGTTATTTCTTCTTTTGTAACTAGCAGAAATGAAGCATTTGAAAGAGATATCTCTGTATATTTTATCCATTGTCCATTAAAGACATGAACTTTATTCCAAATGTGTGAAGAGAAGAGAGTATCCAAAAAGAACAGAGCCCTAAGACCATGGCTACCTTAATTCAAAAATTGACTCATCAAGCATAAGTGCAGTAGAAAGTTATTCACAGTAAGCTGAGAAGTGCCTAAGCAAGAACCTGACACACACTTAATATATTGATGTTGTCAATTGTGCTCCTTCATTAGGCCACCTCTCATGAGTGATCAGATTGAATGTATCAGGAGGTGAAATGTGCTAAAGCTGAAACCTGTACTAACATTGCATTTGACATGATATCTTCAGCCAGTGACCCAGTGATAAGAGCACAGTCTCTAAAGAGAAATTACTCTGAGATCTGGGAATGTTGTTCTGCTTCCACCCACTCAGTGACAGTTCAATCAATTTGTGGGATGTCTGAGTATGACAGAAAACTATATCACTATGTGGATGCTGTGGTGACTCTTTCTGAGGTGACTCAAAATATTTTGAGAGCAAGCTTTACTAAATCAAACTTTAAAATATATTTAAGTTTGCTTATTTAAGTTTTTTCTAGCATTGGATATTGAATTGCCAACTTAGTAAGAATCTGAATGTGAGACTGCAAATTTGGTCTTAAATGTGAAGCTTGAAATTCATGCTATTACTGAATAAAGCATTGAACTAGTGGAAAAAATGCCAAGAACTTTGCATACTGTTAAGAGAACATGAATTTAGAAAATGGAAATTAGCCTGTAGCCAAAGGACTTGAATAATTACAATAACATAGCACAGAAATTTGTCAGCAACAATGACTAACATACACTGAAAGTGGTGTCTTTTGTCTACAATTTGCATAAACTTGAATAGCTACTTTTTTTTTTTCTTTTTTTTTTTTCCTAGAATATTGGTAATCCTCTTCGTCTCAGCAGACCACTGTTAAAAATTGCTTTCAAGAAGTATTCATAAAATAGATACAAAGCTGATTCAGTATTAAAGTAGAAAATGATAAATATTTGTATCAGGACTCACTTCAGACTCAGTATTTTGTACTGATTTGAACTAGGGGTTCAGAAGATGTATATGTGAATGGAAATCCTTAAACTAGAATTAATTTTGTATTTTAGTTTGCAGCTTATATAGACTGATATCTGTTATAGTAATGTAAAAAGAAAAGAAGTTAGAGAATTCATTAGCATTTTTACCTTTCTTAATTTGTATGTCATTGACTGATGAATTTTGAACTATTCCCATATCTTGAGTACACTGGATGAAATTTGTCTTTGGCATAATTCTCCTGAATTTATTGGCATTTCTCTGGAGAAATCTTGTCCCAAGGTCTGTTGAGTAGGTGGGTCATTTGTATGTATTTCAGTGAGTTAGAAAATGAAAAATACATTCCTGCTACATACTTGTCTGAAAGGGTCTGTTTCCACGGGGGGAGGGGAGGGAGAAAGATAAAGAAGTTTTTTGTGTGTCACACCTGCAAACATATTTCTGAATTATTGAAATAATTCTTCTAAATGTAACATTTTTTCACTCATAAGGAAAACTAATATTTTTCTGGTAAGAACATTTGCAGATTGATAATCAACATAAACAGAAATTAAGAATCTTACTGGGTATGATTGCTAGTAAAATTCTTTTTTTTTCTTCTCTACTTCAGAATCCCTGTGATGACAAACGGCACAGAGATATCTGGTCTAAAGAGAAAACCTGTGATCGATTACCAAAATTCTTGGTTGTAGGACCTCAGAAAACTGGTAAGAGTCTTTCCTATTTTGACAAGGCAGGGTATTTGTAAATGCAAGCAATTGTAGTAATTAATCAGGTTTTACTCAGAGTGCTCTGTAGAGACTGTAATCATCTAATAGCATTTTTTATTTTCAGACATCTGAATGTATTTTAATAGTGTAAGTTACAATAAAAGTTCATATACATTTTTAAAATGTGTGCAGTGTTCTAGTGTCTGTCAGATTTCTGTAAGCTTTATATCAAATGAGTCACAATGATAAATCAACAAACTTGACTTTGTCAGATCTTGTCAGAGCTGAGGGAGGGAAAGACGTCAATATTTCAAGTGATGAAGATTCTTAACTGCAGGATTTTGTCTGTGCTGCTTTTGCCATGCTTAGAGAAACTTTCTGTGTCATGGAATTTGCTTTACGTCAAGGAGTTCCTAATGGACAGTTCGAATTGTAAGGTTGTGAGAGTTTATAAATTAACTTCAGGGTTAATTTTCTTCTTTGTAATTAAAAAATTGCGCATCTGCTTCTTCTCATCTTCACCAGTTCCCGTTAGCTACTGAGGCAAGACTTTTGAATTATTTTTGTAGCAATAACCAATTTTGAAAAGCAATTTTTGGCACCGTGAATAACAGATTTGAGCCTTGCCACTCTACTCCGTATTGGCAAAGTTCCTTTAATGCCTTTGATTTAAAAGCATTGAAGATGTCGTAAGTGGCATAAATGAGCATTCCTTCACTAAAGTAAAAAAGAATAAAGGTAGTTCAGTCCACTTGAGAGGGTGACCCATAAAATGTGTGTGTATTTATTTTAATCTTAGACTTTTGTCCTATTTGTAGGTACCACCGCCTTGTATTTGTTCCTGATTATGCATCCTTCAATCATTAGTAACTCCCCCAGCCCAAAAACCTTTGAGGAGGTACAGTTCTTTAATAGAAATAACTACCACAGGGGGATTGATTGGTAAGATGGGTTATTAGTATAAATATAAAAGTTTATATATTGTAAACAATATAAAAATGACATTGCTGTTGGTAATGTTAACTGTTTATATAAAGAGTGAGATAGAAAAAAAATAACTTTTAGTGTCTTTCTAGAATGTTAAGTGAATGCAAATGAATAATAACCATGGTGCATATCATAAATGCAGTAATTTTATTGAGGCTTTCTTGTTAATATCCAGATATTAATATATGCAAAAAGACTAACAAAATATGTATTTCTTAATTCTGTGAGTTTATACAGCTGAATTGTAATTATTTCTATGACATAGACCTTATTTCTTATTGAGACAGTGATGTTTATTGGTTGAATATATGGAGGAAAAATATGTTCATGTTAGAGAGAGGCATTTTTTTTCTTTAATTGCAATTTAGAAATAGCAATCAGGTAATAGTGGGAGAAGAAAAGACTCTCAGAATGTTGTTCAAGGATCTAGGATCTAGTAATTGGGAGAATGTTAACGGCTCAGTAGGGTACATAAATGATGCTAAGAAAAAGAGCATGTTTCACTGCTGTCATGTTCACTTTGGCTACCAGGAAATCACCAGAGGTATCTACTCCCAAAAGGTCATTCTTGATTTTTTGTGCTGCAGTACAGAACTATACCAGATGAATAGCAGTAACATCCTACAGTGGCAGGGGAGCACCAATAAGATACTATTTATATTTTGTCTTTTTTCTTTTGTTTCTTTTTTTTTTTCCAGTCTAAGGGAAAACAGTTTTATTGCCTTTGAATTTGTATTCATCCATAAAATTAACAGAGCGAGCACTGTTGTATGGTCTTAGTACAGATATGTTAGATCCAGTTTCTTTTTAAGTCACTTAGTTTTTGCTGAGTTATAATTGAAGCAGCGGTTTCTTCCACAAAATGTTGTAAGACTGGAAATTAGAGAGCCGAATCTTTGCTATTAAGCTTTTTGAAGTCAGGCAAGCAAACAGGGCATAGTGAATAGTGCTGATGGAGACAGGCTAAGTTGAGTGAGACACTTCTTCTGCAAAATCATCTTTTTCATTGGGCAGGAAGACCTCTTTGCTGCTTCTCTCCTTCCTCCTGTTTTAAGCACTTCCCTAATGTGCAGATACAATGTGTCTGCCAGATTACCTTCATCTTATCACAGCAAGACTGCGTAAGACTTCAGTGGTCAACTTAATAGACCAACTATGTAATTTTATCAGGCCTCACTGGAAAGCATTCATTTGGCTAATGTATATCTGTGCTACGTGCCCCACTCAGCCTTGCCAGCTTTTCAGATCAATCTTCAATACTCAGAGCTGCCCTACAGCGTAGTTGTTTAACTCTTAGGTTTGCATTCTGTCCGCCTTACAGATTTCTCAGACCTTCAGTCTGATAGACTATTTTAATGCTGTCACTTAATGAGCTTACCAAATGTTAATTAAATACAAGGTCTCTCCTCATTAGTCCTTTAATTAGTTAGGATTCCTTCATGGCAACAATATTTGCAAGTAACAAGTGGTTCAATTTATTTTATGGTGATGGAGATTTAGTTTTTTTTTTCCAGAGCTGTCTGATTTAAGTCTTTGTCAAAGCTTAGTTAGACATAGACTAGCTACGGCATTGTTTCAGATGTCAGGACCATGGCAATCTCAATACTTAAAAGAGGTACAGATGTATATTGCAGTGTCCCAATGGAGACAATAGAACAGTAAGAGGAGAACTGGCCATTCTGTTCTTTATGCAGGGAAGTCCAAGTAGACTAGTCATGCATTTCTTTATGTAAGCATTGTTACAGATTTTTTCAACAAGTTTATCTAAAACCTTCTCAGCTTTGCCAGTGAAGAATTCAATAAAATTCACCCATAAGAATCACAGAATCATAGACTGGCCAGGGTTGGAAGGGACCTCAAGGATCTTGAATCTCCAACCCCCTGCCACATGCAGGGCCACCAACCTCCCCATTTAAAACTAGACCAGGCTGCCAAGAGCCCCATCCAATCTGGCCTTGAACACCTGCAGGGACGGGGCATCCACAACCTCTCTGGGCAGCCTGTTCCAGCACCTCACCACTGTCTCTGTAAAGAACTTCCCCCTGACATCCAACCTAAATCTCCCCTCCCTCAACTTAAAACCATTTCCCCTTGTCTTGTTGTTATCTACCCTTTCAAAGAGTTGATTCCCCTCCTGTTTATAGGCTCCCTTTAGGTACTGAAAGGCTGCAATGAGGTCACCCTGCAGCCTTCTTTTCTCCTGGCTGGACAAGCCCAGCTCCCTCAGCCTGTTTCATAGGGGAGGTGCTCCAGTCCCCTGATCATCTCTGTGGCTCTCCTCTGGACCCTCTCCAACAGCTCCGTGTCTTTCTTGTACTGGGGGCTCCACACTTGGACGCAGATTTCCAGATGGGTCCTCACAAGAGCAGAGTAGAGGAAATTAGCTTCTCAGAATCAAGTGTCACAGAGTTTTGTTTCTTTAAATCACGGTAGTATCATTCCTTCTCTCTAAGTACCTTGTAGTCAGTGCTTGTATGCTAACAATACGTGTGCCGTGATAAAATGCATGTTATGTCTATGTCCGAAGGAAAATTGCTAGTGCATCAGTTAGTTACATCCTATTGAGTTTTCTCACTGAGCCTGTGGTGGTGACAATTTCAAAGCCTAGAGTGTATCATTTGTATTAAAAGTAGTTCAGTCCTATGAGTAGAACAAGGTCTGAGCACTGGAATCTTTAGTCTGTAAGCATAATCATTGGAAGAGGTTGTTTTAAATAGCATTTATTTTACAAAAGTTTAACTGAAATATTAAGAAGAACATTTCCCATTTCTTCTTTTCTCCAACTATAAAAAAATCTGCATGTGGCAAACTGAAAAGTTTGCTCACAAAGAAAACCAAAAGGAATACCAACCCATGTTTTCACAAAAATGTGTTTGATAGAAAAATGTTGTCACTGCTTAGAAATGTTTTACCTGCTGAAGCTGTGGTGGATTTTGAGTGGATTTTCACCCATAATAACAAGCTCTACTGTGTTTTTTTAGTAAAAACAGTTTTGATACTTTTTTGTTAGGCTCTTGCACTGTAATTGGTGTCTGCAAAGGATCAAATTCAGAATACTCATTTTTTTTACTTTTGACATTTATAGGAGTAGGAGTTTGTCTTACTGAAAAGTGAGAATTCGCTAATTTTAAAAAGATTCATGAATGTCATAATGTTTTCTTCCAGCTAGAACAAAATGGCTGCAAATCTATATGTAGTCAGAAGATGAGAGATAGTAGCACATAAAATGTAATCAAAATACAATGTAGACTTCTTGTTGCTTTTAGATAGCCATTAGGCCATTATTTTATTGTAGAATAAAAGCGTTATTTCATTGTAGAATAAAAGCGCTTCCAAGTAATTCTGAAGATGATGTTCCTTTTCTAGGTACATGGATTTCTTCCCTACTCCTTCCAATGTCACCACTGACTTCCTCTTTGAGAAAAGTGCCAACTATTTTCATTCTGAGGAAGCTCCTAAGCGAGCTGCTTCCCTCATTCCCAAGGCCAAGATCATCACCATTCTCATAGACCCATCTGATCGGGCGTATTCCTGGTATCAGGTATGTATATTAAGGAACGTGGGCAGGCACAAGTCAGATAAATATGTCAGATTTCAACCTTGAATCCTCTTTGTATATTCCTTTAGTTTGCATATATATTAAGAGTTTGGATTATACAAGCTTTTATGGTCAGTCTGTGCTCCATATATCAACAATGAGCTGAGGTATCTGTCCATGAACATCTGAAAAAAGAATTTAAAGTACCAGAAATCACATTTTCAAAGGTCTGCCTGTAACACAAGCATGTAGGACTGCTTTAATGTATGTAATCAGCGCACAGCCAAATTAGTTTATTCATGCATTTATTTGGTGCGTGTTCAAAATATGAGATCTGTATGTGTACATTGGATGCCCCGTCCCTAGAGATGTTCAAGGCCAGGTTGGATGGGCCCTGGGCAGCCTGGTCTAGTATTAAATGGGGAGGTTGGTGGCCCTGCCTGTGGCAAGGGGGATGGAGATTCATGATCCATGAGGTCCCTTCCAACCCTGGGCATTCCATGATTCTGTGATTCTGTGTGTACGTCCAGGATTTTGTGGTTTTGCAAACACCTATTTAAAACAAAAATCAGTGAAGAAAAAATGGCTGAACTGCAATGAAAAGTAGGACCTCAAATTTAAATCACTATCAGCACTGAGTGCTTCTTTGGAAAACATTATTACAACACTTTATCTTACTGTTTCATAGTACTCAAGTGCTGAAATTTCTTTTTTTATAATATTGGAGGAAGCCGTGCTAATGCTGAAGTAGTATTTTGCAGATCATAAAAATAAGATTCCCCGTATGTAATTTGGAATATTTATACAAAGCAATAGTAAGTATTTAGTGGAGTTCATAAGAACATGGCATAGTATCAAAAGGTATGAACGAAGATTAATTTAATACAAAATATGGATCTCCAATAAACATATTTTGAAAGATCAGGCCAGTTTAAGGTAGTGATGTTTCTTTTTACACATTAGGTTTTTTTAGTAAATGGCTAAAATATTAAGATATCATAAATTCCATTTGAAAAACTGATCAAATCCCTTACACAGTGCAGTGGTTCATACCTGATATTTCAACAGTTAACAATTGCATAGTTAAAAGCTGTATCTAAATACCAGCTACCTTGCTATGTATCTGTTTATGTATATTTAAAGCACAGATAGTGAGATTTGCTCTAAAATGACTTCTCCAATCCCAATTCTAGTTAATAGTTTTGACTTAAATTTTTGTTCTTCAGTCCAAAGATTTCAACAGGAATTTGAAAAAGTAAAAACACAAAAAAGAAAATTCCAAAGAGAACAAATGTCTTAGAACTTCTGTGATATACGTGGTGTTACTTTTATGATGAGATGCAGTCAAAGCCTTACATCCAGTCTCATAGCTGACCCTGCTTTGAACAAGAGGCTTTGAATTAGAAACCCAATGAGAGCAATTTTGATCTGAATTTTTCAATGATTGTCATAAATATCAATGTTTAAATTTTCTTTTTTTTATGTTTTTACCTTGAATAAGCTGGAAAAAAAGTAAAACATATCAGATTAATTTGTACAAAAGCTGCCAGCCACTCCATTTACTGAAAAGTGAATATTCATACTGCATGCATTCTGTTTTGTTACTATTACTGTCAGTCTATCTTCTGATTTCTCTTGATACAAAAAATATTTATTGATATAAGTAATGTTTATCTCAGCATTTGCAGCAAATTAATACAGATATAAGGTCTCCTTAAAGTAATTTCTAATGTGAATAATCACTCGTGGCAAGATTAGTAAGACTGAACATTTTTTTCTTATTTTCACAACTTTTGTGGTCTGTAAAACTTAAAACTGCAACTTGCTTTACAGCATCAGCGCTCACATGAAGATCCTGCAGCCCTGAAATTCAGTTTCTATCAAGTGATCACAGCTGGACCTCGAGCCCCTTCTGAACTTAGAGCTCTCCAAAGGAGATGCCTAGCACCTGGATGGTATGCTACACATATTGAGAGATGGCTAACTTACTTCCCACCTTATCAGGTGAATAAGACAGTAACTCAACATCCTAACATTATTTATGTAATATTCTGAAAGATTACCTTTGTAGAAGTATTGCTAGTGAGTGCTGATCCGCAAGGATATCCCAGGTACACGCTAGCATGTTTTAAGCCATTCATTATTCACAGCCGTGTTCTAATTAGTTGGATTGACATTGCTATGGGTGTCATGCCTTAGCACCATACAGCTGAGAGCTTGTTCTGCAAAACAAATCTGAGTAATCTGGAAGTTCAAATACTTGAACACTCTTGTACCCTACATTGCCTTCAACTTTTTGTTTGTTTTTAATTTGTTCATGCTTTCATCTCTGCGTCTGTAATTCTTTGTCTGTAATGTTGAGGAAAAGAGAACTAGGCATGCAAGAATTCTTTAATATCAGATATTTCATCACGGTTTACAAAAGAAAAAAATGTCAAAAACAATGGGACACTGCTCACTAGTATTTCTATATTCTCTTAATGGTAACTAGTATCACCTAGCACCAGAGAATATGAGCTGGGATATTGCAATTGCCACATGGGAGGAAGGGGAGCAAAATCTCCCTTCGATGGAGGTTTGACGTTGGAAGACTTTGGGATGTAAGCAACATCTTTTCTGTGTAAAAGAGGCAACAATGATTGGGAATGGTTGTGACCAAGTGAAGCTGTAACGCCTTAATTTTTAAATGCGTCAATGTTTTCACACAGTCCTTGGTTCTTTCATGCAGTCATCTCCCACTGTTTCACCCTCATTAGGCTATGATTATAGTAGTAAATAAACTGTACCTTTGCAAGAGTTCACACACTAGTTCACTGCTGTCCATAGTACGTGATTTTTAAGACATTTCTGTAAGTTTGGATCTGTAGCAAAAACCATCTTGCCAAGCAGTTTCAGATCACAGCTCAAAGGATAACAAGAACCATTACCATCAGGTAGTCTCAATGCAGCCAATTTGGTTTTGCAGTTGAGAGGCCTTACCAGTACGGATTTGTATCATGCTTGTGCCATTTAGCCTTAGGATAAGAAAACTGTCTGTGATTTATTGTGGTTAACAATATGAAGTCATGTACATCAGTGTGTTTGCCATCTCAAGCATCACCAGTTTTTACATGAATTGATGATTTGCCTGACATGACTTTTCTATAACTTTGAAACTATTGGGTCTCGTCTGCACATTTTTTTCTCTTTTGCACATTTTGTTTTTTGAAATTTGTCGTACATTGTTGCCCATATCAGTGCATCCCAGCCTCTACTGGGATTCATGCATACAGTGGAACAGTTTGGTGTTTTGATGTTTCTAATAATCTACGCATGCTTGATATCTATCACTGATCCTGAATCCTTGATATATCCTATATGTTGAGATCAGTTTTTCTGTTTGTCTGGTAGCTTCACAGAGTGTATGTTCACGGACCTGCAGATTTGAGTTCAGGTGGAGAATAAACAATTTGAAAATTTGATCTCCCCTGCAAACGTGTGGTGGCATATAAGAAATTACTAGTCTCCTTGTGGCCCTGTGTAGATCAAGTCTCAAGAGATACACATTCTAATCCTGAACATCATCTCCTGTACAGAGCCAGGCAATATCACGATTTGTATCTCCTTCACAGATTTATTTCTGGAATAGATTTTTATGACATTGATTGTGTGTCTAGCATTATTCCCCACCTCACATATAAAGTTAACTTTAACTGAGGGAGGTTGGCTGCAGCCTGAACCTTCTGTTTATCCAGACTTGCTTAGCTGAGACAATTTGGCTGGAGTCTGCACCTTCTGTTTTCCCAGGGTGTGCCAAGGAAGCTCTGATGCCTCTAGATGAGTTGTTCTTTACAGACTCTCTTTTGGGACAGTCTTGAAGAATTCATGAAATACACACTTCCATCATATCATTATACTCATATGAAATTTTCTACATCATCTTTTTTTATCTTATCTCCAGAATCACCCATCCATGAGTACTGAACAATACATGTCATCAAGTGGATTTTTGCCAGATTTTACGTCTGACAATGGCAGAAAAGAACCAGCCTTGATAGCTTTTTTTTTTTTTTTTTTTTTCCTGTTAGTGTATTAGGAGATTCACTTGAATTGCAAAAGCAACAGTGTATTATAGGCTTTATCTGAACTTGTTAGCAAGTTCAAGGAACTGCTGAATCACGTAGCAGTTACATAAGGTAGACCTAAAATGAGATCAGCTTAGAAGCAAAACTTTATGGAAGTGAGAGAGCCTTTGTAGGAAAGTGTCTTACTTAGAGTACCAAATTTTAAAGCTGTATAAATTGTTGAGTCTCAGCAGGTGTGACTGAGTTGAAGAAGCTGTTACAAAGTCAACAGGCATATAGTAAGTGGTAGAGGTAGCAACAAGCATAGGTTTAAAGGTCCCCTAAGATTTTTTATTACACTGGCAAAACCTTTTCTTGCACATCTTTTTTTGAGTGGTAGAAACAAGAATGCCACAGATATTTATCTCTATTTGCTTGTTAAATACTAAAGAAGAAACCTCATTCTGTTCTTTTGGATGGAAATATTCCCCACTTGGGATATTTTTTGACCACTGATCTACAAAGCACTTAAGGCTTGTTTTCTGAGCTTACATCTTAGGAAAGCAGTAGGATCATTTTGGGCTCAAGCAGTCATAATGCATCTCATTTGAAAAACTTCTGGGATGAGCTGCTGCTTCTGAACAGCTTGATACTTTCACTAATCCACATCTCTAAATCCACATGCTGTATTTTGGCAATTCCAAAGACTGATCTTTCAAAAGAAATGACATTTTCACCCTTCTGATTATGCTCTGAAACCCTATAAAACCTACTGACCTCTGAAACCCTAAACCTACTAAGTTTCAGCCAATCCTGTAAACAAATCATAGGATCTTAGGCTCTCTCCTTGTGTGGAAACATAAAAGCAAGCTTCTGCACTGCACACAAAATGAGACCATTGAATCACCTAGAAGTCTGTTGCTCCCTCCTTTTCATTATTAAAACGTGATAGAAAAAGTAGAACTGTTTCCACGACAGGAAATGAATTCTCACCTAATCCATTTGGGATCTTGTTTCTCTTTCAACAGTCTCAAAGACTCAAACATGCTGCACCTTCAGTGGATCATTTAGGCATAAAACCCTCACTTAGTGTCTGTTTCCATGAAGATTCACATCAAAGGAAAAGGATAGCCATATCTGAAGTAGCCTAGTGTGAGTGTATATATGATCAAGCGCTTAACAAAAACAAATTACATACCAGTTCCTGGCCTTCTTACACATATGTTGCAAATTTTGTATCTATGACACTCCTGCCATAAGGTTCATCCTAACATTTCCCTTTATTCCTATTCTCAAATAAGTTTGTTAGTTTTTTGTGGTTTTTTTTTGTTGTTTTCTTTCCCCCCCCCGTAACATGATGTATTCTCATATGGTCTTAGAAGTAAGGCATTTATTCTAACATTGCCTACTGTTTTCTTGGTCATTTCCAGTGACAAGCTTTTCAATGTGAGTTTAATATATATTCATAAATGCCTGTGTCTGTGAGAATTAACAGCTAATTTCTTTTATACCTTTTTTCTTCTCTTGACAAATCTCATTCAGTTTCCTCCCAGTATTTCTTACCTTTCCAGATCCTTTAATGCTACTTCTCTGTTGTCACAACGGGCTGAATTTCAGATTTATTTAAATGCCATTTATTCCCAGATCATTAATGATCGTGACAATTAGTGAACTAATTATCTGGGAAGGTGCTTTCCATACAATGAAGGAGTCTGACAGAGGTGGAACTTTCAGTTTGAATTTTAACATAATGAATTTTAAATTATATTTCCATTTATTTTATTTTTGTAGTTGTTAATTATTGATGGACAGCAGCTAAGAACTGACCCCTCTACTGTAATGGATGAAGTACAGAAATTTTTGGGAGTCTCTCCTCATTATAATTACTCAGAAGCCCTAACGTGAGTCAATTTTATCATCATTATCACTTGTTCTTATGTTCCTAAAATACTAATTAGTTTGTAAGGAAGCTCACTATTTAATAAAGCCTCTGATTCTTTACCTTCCATATGAGTTCAGTAGGATGTATTTTTCTATGTCTAGAAAAGAACACAATAGAGAGAGAGATTTCCAGAGGATCTACACTTAGTCACTAAATGTCGAGCTTCACTGTCACAGGAGTAGACATCTGAAAAATTCACAGAGAATACAGTGAATAAAAAGAAATTTTAGGAATTTTATTCCTATTGGTAAATGGAACATGGAATGCTGACTTCCATGAAAAGAAAGGAAAAAAAAATTTGTTTTGGACATTAGCTGCAAGTATTAACAGTATTGATCAGGAATATAGCATCCACTCTATATGTGCACTAATACTTTGGAATCTGACACTTTGGTTGCCCTTAAAGTGGGATTGATAGCCTTAGATTTACTCTTCTCAGTATGAGTCTATTATCTTTCCCTGTAAGAAGCCCTCAGAAAAAGAATGTTTTTCTTTTCTATTTTTCTGTTTAATATTTTCTTCTAGTTTTATTCTATTCCTTTTATATTACCGGTAGCAAAATAGACTTTCATCTTCCATGAAATTGGAATAAGTAGGTGGTAAAGACAAAAAGGGCCAAATAATCCCTGGATCTGAGTCTATTGAAGACATATTTTATTTGTTTGACTTTTTGATTTGTTTTTTGGTGGTGGTGGTTTGTTTTTTGGTTTGTATGTATGTGATTTTTTTATATTTTTATTTTTTAATACTGAAGCCTTTGTCCTTGATATTATGAATTAATCCCATCTGCATCTAATTCTATAGCATGCATTTTCGTTCATGTCAATCTTTGAACATAGTTAATGTTTACAGAAGTAAAGCATCTTGTTCAGTTAAAATGCACTGATATCAGTTTGTCCACTCAGCTGATGTCAGGAATCATCACTGCAGCATCTCATAGCCTTTACACTGCAGTACTGGCACTTGCTTCCTTCCTTTCTTCACTTTGTTTACTTCACAGTTTGTGTCTGCTCCCAGCTCTTGTTAACTCCCTTAATCTTCTCTGTTTCCCACTTGCTTGATGCCTTTTCCTGAAGAGAAAATTTGAGAGCTAAAAAGAAAACTGTGTGAACTTACTTTATTGAGTTTCTGCTATGAACATGTGTTTAAATGTTTGTTTCAGGTTTGATTCACATAAAGGTTTCTGGTGTCAGCTTCTGGAAGAAGGAAAGACCAAATGCCTTGGAAAGAGCAAAGGTAGAAAATACCCTCCTATGGATTTGGAGGTAAACCATTATGCTCATTGGCATTATATAGAGATTTAGCCATCATAAATGGGACTCTGCACAGGCAAAATCATAAGAAGATTAAATTAAAGTAGCCTTAAATTAAATTAAGTAGCCTTGATTATTTTACTACCTTTTCCTACAAATGAAACCTTCAGCAAAGCTGTGGATTGCATCACTTTTTTTCAGTTCTTTGTTTCAAATGTGAAGATTTTAAGTTATTATAAACATTTTCTCTCATGTAACTAGTGATAGGACTAGAGGAAATGGCCTCAAGTTGCACCAGTGGACTGGCTGTTAGGAAATACTACTTTTCCAAAAGAGTGGTCAGGCATTGGAATGGGCTGCCCAGGGAGTTGGTAAAATTACTGAGGTGTTCAGGAACATTTAGTCAATGTTTTGAGGGACATGGTTTAGTGAGAACTAGTGGTGTTAGGTGCACTGTTGGACTGGATGATCCTGTAGGTCTTTTCCAACTTTGGTGATTCTATGATTATATGAAACTATTCTATTTGGAAACTTGGCACTCCTTAGAAAAATAAACTTAGCACCTCTGAAAACTTCTGAAATTAATTTGGAAGCCTATTCCCTTTACCTAAGTGAGTTAAGCAGCAGAAACCCCAGAGTGGGTTTTTTCTCAGTCGTGATCAGATATGTGCATCTGTGTCTGTTTCCTTGTCTTTGAGAGTAGATAGACCATGACAGACTCTCATAAAGTTCTGTTCTGAGAGTGGTTAGGTTCTATTTCCATGAATTTCATAAATATCTTCCTCAGACAAAGGAAAATATGCTCCAATGAAAAAAATCCATCAGATCAAATGCTGCAAGCAATATCTAAAGGTAGTTCAGTCTCCTTTTCTAGCTACAACTTTGTGTATTCTTTCCTATATTCCTGTTTCATTTAGCCTGATTAAAATTCAAATTAAAGCATTTTGATCAACAGTATTAACACAGCAAGCCAGATTTCTTTTTTTTCATGGTCCTTAAGTCAGAAGCAATTGACAAAATTCAATAGAATTATAGAATTGCAGAGTGGCTTAGGTTGGAAACTTAAAGATCATCTGGTCCCAACCCCCCTGCTGTGGGCAGGTTGACTCCTACCAGATCAGGCTGCCAAAGGTCCTTTTCAGACTGGCTTGAACACATCCACAACCTCTCTGGGCAGAGAGGTTCTATACCTCACCAGACCCTGAGTAAAGAATTTCTTCCTAACATTTAACCTGAATCTCCCTAATAGAATTATACTCATAGAAAATCATTGGATGCTAAGGCTTCTGAACAGAATAAGACTGTATTTGTTTAATGTAGTATGTTTCAACTCTAAATATTGATGAAACTAGTTTTACTAATTACCAGATGCCTATATAGAAAGATTCTACAAGCTCTGGTTTCAGTCACGCTTGAGTAAATTTGAATGTCAGCTGCAGTACTATTCTTAATTTACATATCTGTCTGTGAGCAGATTCAGATCCTTTGCTTTGTCTTCATGTTCATTTTGGATATCTTTTGTTTCTCTTGATACTACCTTTTAAAGTTCAGCTATAAACTTAAACTTGCATGCAGTAGATAGCTTAAAAAATATATAAATTGCATAGGACAGAGTAAAGTTTTGACACCAGTAAGGCAAACTTTGAAATTTACATCCATTACAGAACAACATTTTATTAAATAAAAAATATCTGCTTTTATATCCATCAGTGCAGGGCTTTTCTGTCAAACTACTACAGAGATCATAACGTGGAACTGTCAAAACTCCTACACAAATTGGGACAACCTCTGCCGTCGTGGCTGAGACAGGAACTACAGAAAGTAAGATAGCACTGAAAAAAGACATTTTTGAAATCTCTTCCACACTTCTGTCATCCTTCCCAAAGTCTCCAGTAGCTACCAGACAGTCTTGTAAAATATACCTCCTCAAAAAATAGTAAAAGACAGAAATTATTTCCATATGCTGGCATGTGGATTGTGAAAATACACGTGATTCTTAGTACTGGTGGGACAGATCTTTCTCATAAACATTTCTGGGCCTGTGGAGTTGTGGACTACTGCGTATGTATGTGGAAGTTAACTGCAGCTGGTATATGCTTCAGAGCTACATACCTGTCCAATTTCAAGGTAAATACTTACATTTTTATATATCAGTTTTAAAGTATTGTGTCTCACATAGGTTTTGTAGTCCACTGTTAAGACTGCTGTTTTTCCTAGTATTTGATTATCGTGTCTTGCATAAAATAAGAAAATTTAATGTAGCATAAAATGCCAAGTGTACTTCTGCCATTGGAATTAGCTTGCTAATACCTGAAGTATATTCTACTAAGTGTGAGAAGTACAGTTATCATACACTACTTACAAAATCTGGAATCCACAGGCAAAAGCAGTGTAGAAAAGAAAAAGAAAATTACCTATAGCCTGTAAAAACAAACCCTTACAATGCAGTAAGGGCCTCATAATCAGTCTGATGTTGCACTGACTGAAATTGCAAAATACAGAATGTATACTGCATCTGAACAGAAATGTAATTGGATACATAAAGCACTAATGTTGCAATAACAGCCTGGTGAGCAGTGTTATACTTCAACAATTGTGAACCAGACTGAAACAGTACAATCAACAGTCTTTCACTGGCTTCTGCGAGCAGCCAAATTTTGATACTGCTCTCTGGTCTTACGTTGCTGTGAATCAGAAATTACTCCACTGAAATGAATGAAAAATTGATAAAGAGCAGAAACAGATTCATACTTAGACTGCCTTAATTTGCACTACTGGTTTTCCTTAATTTATTTGCCTTCAATCTGTGCTGTGCATTTTCCAAGGTCCCTCAACTTGATCAAAACTGTAGCATCTTGTGGTGACCTTCAACCTATATCAGCTGCAAAAATCTGATTTCTGGATGAAAATAATGATTCTAGCTCCACCCATCTTAAAGAAGCTTGGTATTAAAGTTTAGAAATAAGCTTTAGGAAAGAGAAATTAAGACAATTTATGGTAGAAAGTTAGTCTCCAGCCATGAAAAAACACACATATCCAGCCTTACATTTGTGATACATTTCAGTGACACACCTCATAATATGTCAGTTTAAATGTGAGATAAAGTCTAATCAACCATACTTAAAAGTTGAAAAAGATCATTGAAAATTTCAGCTGAGTACGGCCTTAAGGTTTCTCCACTGAACTTTGGCTCTGAATGTTTCTAAAGGCATAAAGAGGAAGAGAATACAAAAGATTATTGCAGTACCAAATGAAATGCTTTTCACAGTAGCTCTGTATTATTATCATAATTTGTTTTAGGATGAACAGTTAAAATATGCATCAAATGATGGAAAAACTTTGTATGTCTCAGTGCTGTTTTACAACCTTTATGTAATTATATAATTTAACTTTCAAGATAATGGAATGGAAACAGTCTGTTATTCCCTAAATGGAAAACAGATGTTGAGATCTTTACTGTAACTCTAGCCAGTAATCTTGAATATTTATTGATTTTGTCTGTGTAGTACCTGTTTTGATAGGCTTGTAAAGAAAAAATCCAGACAAATTTGCTATATATAACAATATTCTTTACACAGCACATTTTTGCTAAGGGAATATGCATGATTAATGATGATGACCTGTCAGAATAGACTTCTAAGAAGAACATCTTTATTATTTATAAAAGAATAAAAATTTTCATTTCATTTTAGATACTCACTGTTATATAGGTTTGAGCCAGAATCTGAATTGTTTTGAAATACTCTTATTTGATAAAAGAAATGCCTTGAATTCTGAATATCTGTAAGTGCAAATCCTCTGCATGCTATGGGCAGCTTGTGTCCTACAAGCATCTATATGGATTTGTTACAAGTAATTTGAATAACTGGAAGAAATACCTGTGGTTTTCATCCAGACATGATTGATTTTATCCCTAATATAACCTGATGTAACATCACTCAGACATTTAAAGTAGAATAAAATTGTAAATCAGAAGAAAATGGGAAAAAGCACTACAAAATGCCTGAGATTTTCACAAATTAAATGCTTCCTACACACTGGAAGAATGGGCTTCAGCCACGTTTGTACTTTAGTCTTTGTTACCAGAAACTCTGTTCCTGTTCTCTTTCCCTGTGAAATCTAGGCCACATCAAAAGGAGAATAAGTGAGCACTGAGGATAGAGCAGTGACTGAGGAGTGCACGTTGATCATCCTCTAGGTATTTTGCAACAGACAAGGTGACATGTCTGAGATCTGTGGCCTTTTCTGTGATGTTTGTTAGGAATTTGGTGAAATAGCCAATGGCAGTCACCACATGGCTCTGGGATGATAAGCCCCCCACAAGCAGCTCCTTGGCTCTGGCTGGACCAGGATTAGTTTGACAGCTAAACATAAAGCTTGTCCTTTGTGAAGAAGTGCTGTAATCAGTTTCAAGTCCTGATGAGGAATAGTAGGATGCATCCCTTCTACTGTCTCAGTGGCCTTCCCGAAGTTGGAATAAAGGCAAATCTTCAGTGAATTCCTGTGGTAGCTGTGGGTCAGTCCTGTGAACAAAGTAATGTGACCTTTTGGCCCTGGAGCTACACATCTGAAAGGGTATTATCTTGAATCTTAATTCACAGATCCTATTGAGATGCATCTGTTGAGTGCTAGCATCTTTAGATGCAGAGCTCTAGCTGCTTGTAAGCTAGGTTTGCTAAGTCCTCTCAGACTCAATAGCAGTAGAGAAGTAAAGCCTAACCACTAGGGGTCTTTGCAGTTCTGATTTTGTGATGTTCGGTTATTACTGGTTTATATAAAGAGAGTATGAAGACTTTTTTTGTTCTTTTCCTCCAGAACTGTTTTATTTAAATATGTTCTTACATTTAACAGGAAGCTTTTAAAAACAGAATTACTATTAATATGCAGTCAACTTGGTGAAGAATTAAGAGTCTGAGCAGAACATGCAGGCAACAGCTGCAATGTGTTATTCCCCAAATAAGGGGATGCACATGAGTACAGCTGAGTAAGCAAGTCATACAACATGAATTACTTGAGAATTTTAACCTATTTACAAATTCCCTACAATCAATATTTAGTTCTCAGAAGTAGACTTATCAATATTAACACTTCTAAAAAACACCACTCCATCACAAAAAAAAAAAAGTATATTTGCTAGTCGCAGTCCAGTGTTTTACTGTGGATGGTAATACAGCCGTGGTTTCTGTTCTCCTGGTAGAAAAATGCACAAGCAATTGCTTTAACAAATGCCTGATGATGTGAGCTTCACATTTATTTTCATAAATACAATTCTGAAATTTGATTTCCTCAAATATCTGTGCCATTAAAAATCAGTGTGAGTATGAGTAGAAATGAGTATGACCACTAGGGGGTGTAAACACAGAGCCTGATAAGAGATCACATTATTATTTGAGCAAACATTCCTGAAATACTGTGATATCTTCCCAGTTCTACTTGTGCAGAAATAATTCATTTCAGTGATTTGCAGACTCTCATGTACAGCATATTTTTCGTTGCTTAAAGAAGTGGAACTTCCTCAGGAAGAAAGTAAATAGATATTTCAATGTTTATAGATGTAATACTCTTGTCATTCACATTGAATGAAAATTGCTGGAAACATTTTTCTCAAAATTTTTTTAAATAAAAAATAGACATTATACTGATAGTGGCATGGTATCTGATGTGCAACAATAAACTCTGCTAAAAAAATGTACCAATGAATGAAAGTGATTTTTTTGTTCATAAAAGTTGTCCTTTTCCAGGTTTGTTAGCAGCTACTACTGAGTTATAACACAATCCGCGAGCAGGGCAGCACCACGAAATGTTTTCACAGATGGAAAATATTGCTTACTCTCTATGTAAGTGAACGTTACACTTTATGCAGCTGCTTTTGCTTCCTGCTCAGTTTTTACTTCTCATTCCAGAAATCATTAATGGGCTATAGAAACATTTCCAGAGCTTGCAGTTTTTAAGAGAACATGCAGACTTTATTTGAACTGTTTGCCTGTGGGATTCAATAGTTGTGCCTACATAGACATGAGAAGACATTTCTAGGAGGAACTTCTAAAAGATGGTGCTAGCATCCAAAGGAAAATTCACTCTTATCAACAAATTCAGAAAAGAGTAGAAAACTATAGTATCTAGCTGACTAAAAGCTGATTAATAACTTCATATAGGTGTAGAAAATAGCATGTTAACAAAATATTCTTTCATTACAGAGAAATGATGTAATATTCACAAGTGTAAACTTCCACTACTCATCTCTATAATATCAAAGTGTAACAGAACAGTAATAACAGAAAGATACTAAGCTAAGATTCTTGCTGTGCCCGACTGACCTCTGTATCCAGTTTTTCTGCTTTCGTTTAATGTTCCTTTTCAGTTCTACCAGTTCCAGATCTCTTAGAGCTTAAAGGCCAAAAATGTACTTTTTTTTTTTGTCAATGCGGATCAGAAGGATGAAGAAGGCACAATGGTCAGCACCAAGGGACAAAACACAGGAACAGGAAGGCAATTAGCAGGTGAAACCAAGGCCTGGGGAAACCTGAATGAGGGAGGAATTCAGACAAACTAAGGGAGAATGATTAGAGTATTGTGAGATTGATTACTGACCAGCCTGTTTTCTGTTAGTTTACCTCTTTTATTTATTTATTTTTTTAATACAGTATTTTCTTTCATCACTTCGCATTTTCTGTTCTGATCTGTTTGCCTTGAGAAATTCAGCTGGAAAATGAGGCTCTTGTACTTTAAATGGTCAGGTATCTGTCTGCCCAGGAGAGCTGTCAGTAGCACAAGGACACTGGCAGGACTCTACCGAAGAATATGAGTATTCCCTAGCAGATGTGGCCTACTTCAACCACGATAGAAGAGCTTGTTCAGAATTACTAGTTAAAATCCTGAAACCCATGTTATTCAAGAGATCAGAGAAATAGGCTCTTTTGCGCCTTAGTTCTTCTGTCTCCTCAGTTATCCAGAATGCTTCTCCTAATAAGATTCCCAGTAAAACTGGGATCTGATTTACTCGTCAAAAGAAACTCAAATTATTTACTTATTTGCATAAGATACATATATCTCAACGATGTACTCAGACTCTATAAAAGCCGTACGTGATGTGAAGGACAGACTGCCGCCCCCCCGCGGCATCCCTCTCGTGCTTCAGCGCCGCACACGCGCAGCAGACGGGCGCAGCAGACGGGCACAGCGCCGAGCAGCACCGCGGGCCGACGGCGGCGCCACCGCCCTCTCCTCGCCCCGCCCCGCCCCCTGGGAGGGGCACGCGCCTCTCCCGCCCTTGCCGCCTGGTGGCGGAGTGGTTCCGGTTCCTTGAGCGACCGTTGGCGTGCGCACGTGGCGGCGGCTGCTGGGGGTGCTTTTGGCGGGCGCGCGTGCGGCGGCCGTTAAGTGGGGGCGGAAGGCGGGATGAGGGGTTTCTGGCCGCGCGCTGGTGCAGCCGTCGGGCTCCGCAGCCCTTCTCTAAGAAATGGGCCGGCCGGCCCCGGCGGAGCCAAGGCAGGCGGGCAGAGAGATGCGGAGCAACTGCAGGTAAGGGGAAAGTGAGGGCTGAGCGGCGGCGGGTTGAGGTATGATGGGGAGCGGGGGGAGCGAACAGCCGGCGGTTGGCAGGATGGCGGCCGCCGCGTGGGGTGCGGGAGGGCCGCTCCATGACTCCATGGGGGCTGCCGCTCGTGGCTGTCCCCCTTCCTAGGCATGGAAGAGCAGCTCCTTGCTAATTGGCAAAACTTCTACCGTCCTGTTGGTAGTAGTCGTTGACTGTGGCAAGTAACAAGCCGAGTCGGCAGGGGTTTGTGGCGCAGGGGGTTGGCGGCTTCTTGTGATGCTGTTGTTTCTTGTTTTTCCTTTGTAACTTGTCGAAGCTCCGTTTTTTAAGCAAGTCTTCTCCCCTTCCCCCCCCACTCCCTTTTTTTTTTTTCTTAAACTGTCTTGGAATGCAGAAGCCGGAAGTGTGGAGGCGGCATAGAAGTTTCTTTCCTCAAAGACACCGCGTGACTGGGTATGTGTTGCCTTATGAGCTCCTAATAGAGAAGTTGTGAGCGGGAATAATAGCAATTTACTAGTTACGTTTAGCGACTAAGCTGCTGAGACCCGTCACATCACCACTGAAATCAAGATATGAGCTTGATTTTTATGTATTGAAAGTCTACTTGGTTGTGTGTAATTCTCTTTTACTGACAAAAAGTTGTAACTAAGGAAAAGTCTATTATTTGGAAGAATTGGGCTTAGGTGTGGATGTGTTCAGTCTGTTCTGAAGACTGGGCTGTGGTAAAGATGTGTATTGCCAGTACTCTTGACTACTACACTGGAGGCATCTGGATCCACAGATGTCCACAAGCTGTGTGTGCAAGGAGCAAGCCTGTCAGTAAGCATGTTGCTGAGTTAGCAGAGTGAGTACAAATGGTGATCTGAAGCAGGGGAGATGGCTTCCAGCAGCTTTGTTTCAGAGCATTGTACAGCTTCCAGGAAGGCACTGTGCTGTCCAGTGATGTCTGCTGTCTTGTATGTGTAGCAATATTAAACTGCGTCAAACTTCTCTTTACAGGGGAAAAACATTCTTGAGTTGTGATGGCAGAAGAAGATGGGTCTTAATTCAACCTGTAAATTTTTGGAGTAACTGTGAATAGAAATTATATTGTTTACTGACTTTAAGGGTTGATAGGCAATCTTACAGGATTAGCGGTCTTTGTAAGTAATGGTATTTCTGTCCTTCAAACAGGGAAGCACACACTGCTTTTAGGCTGGGTCTTAATTTCAATTTAGACTTAAATGAACTCTTCTAATTAAGTTTATACCTTGAGCCTAGATGCTCTGCAGTCCCTCGTCTTAACAAAGCGCACAGGGGGCCTGGGATGTAGTGTACTGTGTTTCAAATTAGCGTGGGATTGGTCTGCACAAAAGAGAAGGTAGTTAGGAGGATGTTGGCAAATTTATGCTGCCTTCCAGGATCCTTAGCTGCTCTCATTTCAAGGCTTTCACCAAGTTTTATGTTATTACAATGTCAGTAGTTAGTGACTGCAGCTACACAGCTGACCATGCTTCAGTAGTCCTAAATCTGGAGAAGTGTTGTGTTTTCACTGGGGGCTCTGCTGCTGCTAAAGCACCTTAGAAGGGATGTTACAAGGAGTGTACTGTACTGTGGAAGATGAAGGTAAGTTTATGAAGTCTAAAAGGTGTATGTGACCATCTGCAGTTAAAACTTCAATACATGCTAATGTAAAGGATTCAAATGTACTAACGAGTCAATAAAGAGATATGGACTTACACTGCAAGTGTCGCTTCTTCCTTACAAGTGTACTGATAACCAAGACCAGACCTGCATGTGAAGAGTTACTGAGGAGAGGACATATGTGTTTGCTGTGTGCATTCACCTTTTGGTATCTGGGCCTTGTACTTTGAACTAAGTAGTTCTGGGCCAAAGAAGGAACTGATTGATGCTGTTTGGAACTCATTCTAGAAGGCACATGGTTTTAGAGGGAAGAATTAAAGATTTTCTGCAGGGAAGAAATAGAGATATTTTTGAATGTGGCTGCTTTCTCTGTTTAATTTGTTGGATATTTTCACTTCATGCATATTTGTAAAATAACTCAAGAATGGGACAAATTAAATGTTTCCTTCTGAAATGTATAATCAAACTTAGATAGTACCTGCTCTTGCTTAGCATAACTTTGTGTGGGATATCTTTGTTAAGTAGAAAATTCATTGCAAACTGAGAAGCTTACCCACAACTGATGTTCCTGCCACATCCACTTAGACATGTATAAAAGCTCCAGTCAGCGTGGCAGTTTTTATTGTTCACATTTACATCATCAGGCTCACTGAACAAGAATTAGAATGGTACAACATAAAGACAATTTCATTTTCTTTTAGGAACTAGCAAAGGCATGCTGTCTGCATGGGAACTAGTGCATCATTTCAACTTCTAAGTATTAAAGCATCCTAAGAGAGCAAAACTAATGATCTACCTTACTAAATCTAAATGTTACTGCATTTAGGGTACAGACTTGATCTTTTTCTCTAAGTATTGCACTTTGTGGTGCAACTCTCAAAAGAATGGTTTATGCTGTATATCACACATACTGCACTATGTTGTCTACTTCACAAGTCTTATAATCAAGGTCTTATTTAGCAAAATTTTGTATGAGTAGGTACCTTCTGACAGGCTTACTTTCTCTGTAATTAAAAGGGCTACATATATGTAAAAATGTAAATAGCTTTACAGTTTGCTAGGAGAGTATTTCACATAGGTCTAACAGTAAGTGAGCGTAGTACTATATGTTTTTAAATAATTTGCTTCTAGTGCAGTTTTACAGAAAACTAAAATACATAAAAGCACCTCATGTGTACTAGTTTAGCACCAGTTCCAACAATGTATTTAAGCTAGTTCTGGCCCTTAATAAGGCCAGTAAGTTTGAGGAGAGAAATTGAGGTCCAATTTTACTATGACTTGCAACATTATTGTAACTTGCACAAACGAGTTGGTTTGGATATTAAAACACCAGAGACACGTAGAAGTATACGGGGAGTGCATGAATGCCCACTTACAAATGAATATGAGTGTCCCACTTTGTTCACAGAAGGCCACGCAGTACTGTTATAGCTTGAGTGTCTGAGGAAGGGAAACGGGAAAACTGTCAGTGGTAGTCACAGTTGGTACACACAGCTGCCATACGTATCTCACTGGGGTGTTTCATGGCCCAC